TGGTCCAAAGTATCATTCAGGTCCATTGTTTCTTTAGTGATTTTCTGTCTAGTTGATCTATCCATTGCTGTAATTGGAATATTAAAGTCCCCTGCTATTAGCACATTCTTATCAATAAGATTGTTTCTGTTTGTGATTGTTTTATGTATTTGGATGCTCCCAAATTCAGTGCGTAGACATTTATAACGGTTAGCTCTTCCTGATGGATGGACCTTGTAATTATTATATAATACCCTTCTTCATTCCTTATTACTGCCTTTACTTTAAAGTCCAGTTTGTCTGATAGAAGTATGGCTACTCCGGCTTTCTTTTGGCTTCCAGTAGCATGATAGATATTTTTCCTTCCCCTTACTTTTAATCTGAAGGTGTTCCCAGATCTAAAATGAGTCTCTTGTAGACAACAAATAGATGGATTTTGGTTTTTTTAATCCATTCTGATACCCTATGTCTTTTGATTGGAGCATTTAGTCCATTTACATTCAGTGTTATTATTGAAAAATATGGGTTTAGAGTCATTGTGTTCTCTGTAGGATTCATGCTTTTGGTGGTGTGTCTCTGGTACCTTGTGATCCTTGCAACAATTCCCTCATAGAGTCCCCTTTAGGATCTCTTGTAGGGCTGGTTTAGTGGTGATGAATTCCTTCAACTTTTGTTTGGGAAAACTTTTATCTCTCCTTCTATTCTGAATGATGGGCTTGCTGGATAAAGGATTCTTGGCTGCGTATTTTTCCTGTTCATCACATTGAAGATTTCCTGCCATTCCTTTCTGTCCTGTCGTTTCTGCAGATAGGTCTGCTACTACCCTTATGTGTTTACCTTTGTATGTTAAGGCTCGTTTATCCCTAGCTGCTTTCAGAATTCTCTCTTTATGCTTGTATTTTGCCAATTTCACTATGATATGTCATGCAGAAGATCGATTCAAGTTATGTCTGAGGGGAGCTCTCTGTGCCTCTTGGATTTCAATGTCTGTTTCCTTCCCCAGTTTGAGGAAGTTCTCAGCTGTAATTTCTTCAAGTACCCCTTCAGCCCCTTTCCTCTCTTCTTATTCTTCTGGAATTCCTATGATACGGATATTGTTCCCTTTGATTGTATCACTCAGTTCTCGAATTCTCCTTCCATGCTCCTGGGTCAATTTATCTGGTTTTCTCGGCTTCCTTTTTCTATAATTTGTCTTCTAATTCATCTATTCTCCTCTCTGCCTCTTCAATCTGTGTCGTGGCCACCTCCATTTTATTATGCACCTCATTTACAGCATTTTTTAAATTCATAACTATTTTTAAGATGTATGATCTTCGCAGCAGTGCCGTCTCTGCTGTCTTTTATGCCTTCTTCAAGCCCAGCAATTAATTTTATAACTATTGTTCTAAATTCTTGTTCAGTTATGTTGCTTATATCTGTTTTGATCAATTTTTTTTTTAACGTTTATTCATTATTGAGAGAGTGTGAGCAGGGGAGGGGCAGAGAGAGGGAGGCACAGAAGATGAAGTAGGCTCCAGGCTCTGAGCTGTCAGCACAGAGCCCAATGCAGGGCTTGAGCCCACGAACCATGAGATTGTGAGATCATGACCTGAGCTGAAGTCGGACACCCAACCAACTGAGCCACTCAGGTGATCCTGTTTTGATCAATTCTTTAGCTGTCACTTCCCCCTGGAATTTCTTTTGAGGAGAGTTCTTCCGTTTCATCATTTTGGCTAGCTTTTTGTCTCTTGTAAGTTGTAAAGCCTTGTTATGTGCTCTGCACCTGTGAGTACTGCTATATTAAAGGAGGCTCGTACACTGTCCAGAGCCTGGCCATTCAGGAACTGTTCTTTTAACAGTGTCCCTTGGTCTCTTGTTGTGACGTTGGTTATTTTATTTCCCTACTTGTAGTGATGTTTTGGACTCTCCACCGTGTGTGCTTTGGTTTGTTCCTCGAAGTAGCCCTATGAGGCTGTCTTCCTAGTAGACTCCGTCTCCTTTCCACCCAGACTGTTAGGGTTTAGAGTCCTTTGACTTTAGCCCTTCTTTGTTTGAGAGATGCAGGCAGGAAATACAGAGCTTCCTATTTCTCCACCATCTTGGCCCAGTCTCCTGCATTTAGCCATCTTACCACTAACTGTGCTGTGGGGAGTATGAGGTCTTGGGACTCTGGGATGAAATCTTCCACTTCTACACACCTTTTTGGATTCCTTGTGTGTTCCTGGTAAACAAATATTTCAGACATAAATGGCCTCCAAAAGGGAACTCAGAGCCCAGTTTGGCAGCACTAGTGGTGCTGCTTCCTCTTCTCAAGTGGGAGAAGGGGACTGGGCCTGACTTCTGAGGGTAGCAGAGCAACAGATGAGTGTGGAGGTGACAGCAGTCCCAGCATCCCCGAAACTAGCCTGTGGGCTCACAGTGCGTCTTCCCGGGAAGCTGGCCCAGGATGGCCCATCAAGAGAGCAGAGGGCCTGAGATCAGATGGGGAAAAACACAAACTGCAGCCCAGGGAGGCCTGCTCTCAGAGACCCACTGTGGCCTGCAGCTCAAAGCCATGTTGGCCAAGGGGAAGAGGCAGGGTGACATGGGACAGGAAATGGATTCGGATGGGGAGGAAGGGTCAGCTGCTAGCCTCAGGGACTGCTAGACAGGCTTGCCTCTCCCCACTCCTCACACCTTGCTGGCTCTCAGCCGGGCCCTGTGGACTGCTGTTGAGAAGGTGGATGTAAACAGGGAGGGAGGCCTGCATTCCTGTGGGCACATGACCCTAAGAAAAAGTGTGCAGCATCTGCGCTGTGGTGATGGGAGAGGAATCTGAGATTAGCTCTGGTTGGAACTCAGCGTCCACCACAGCTTAGCCTCTGAACAGGGCCAGAGACTCAGCAACCTCGGCCCAACAGAGGCCGAGCATAGGACAAGAGTGGTCAGGGCCCTCCCTCCATAGAAAGGTGAAGCCTAGACATGCAACTTGGCAGAGTGATGGAGGACAGAAACACCTTAAGATAAACATGTTTGATGTACAGATGTAAAGAGGAGGCAGGGGGTGTGATGAACTGCATCCTAGAAGAGAGGCATTCCAGCGTGGATCTGACTCTTCCCCTTCCAGGTCCTTCTCTGCAAAGTGAGGGATTTAGACCCACGGACCTCTGAGGACCAGCCAGTTCTAGCCTTCTAGAGGCACTATAGTTACTAATCTGCATGTCATGTTGATACATTTTTCTTATATAACAGCTTCCCATTTCCAGCATCACTTATGATGGTCTTCTGCAATCAACCACCACCCACCACCCCTACCTAGATCACTATAATTCTGGCTTGGAAATCCACAGATTACCTTTGCCAGTTCTAGAAATTAATATAATTACACCGACTGTTCTTTCGTTTCTTTGCTCAACATAATGTCTGTAAGATTCATTCATGTTGTTGCATCTCTCAATGATGTATTCTAATTAAAATGTAGTATCCTTTGTCTGCATATACCACAGTTCATCTCCTCCCTGCTGATGGGCATTTGAGTTGTTTCTGGTTTGAGGCCTTCCTAAGCAAATCTGCTGTCTTGGTGGACAACATGCTTCATTTCTCCTGGAGGTGGAACTGCTGTGCATACACGGTCTTAGGTATAGTAGATATTACCAAACAGCTTCCCAAAGTGGAGACATGACTTTAACAGATCTCAAAATTACTATATAAACAGGGAAATAAGAGGGAAGAAAAAAGAAACCTATTCCTTAAACTATTCCCAAGACTGATCCTTTTAATAAATTTCAAGCACCTACTATGAACTGGTGAAAGCTGGGCAGTGCCTCTTCCTCACGTCCACGTGACCTCATGTTAACCTGATCCTTGTTCCATGAGGCAGCTGTGCTTTGCTGACACTCCTCTGATGGTACAAGAGGCTATGCCAAGTGGAATAGGCACCAGAATAAGGTGTGACACCAGCTGGGCAGTAGATCTGAATACTCATTTCTTAGTAGCCGCTGAATGGTTCTGACGGACCCTCCCTCTTGTGGAAAGAAAATCAAGGTCATGACAACCTTCCTATTTCACACTTCAGCACCCTGCCTCACAGAAAAACTTTAAAACCTTTCCAAAGCAAAGGATCTGTGTTTAAAAATATTTAGTTTCTGAGGTACAGTGCCCCAAACTGGCTGTGCCAAAGCTCTTGCCCTCCTCCCTCGGCCAGTTCACAGAGCAAGGGGCCTCTCTCCCTGCCATTTCTACCAAAGAGGTCAACTCCTGGGACTCCATAAGGGGAAACCCTGACTCCTACTATTGTGTTCTGGACAACAGAACTTGCCTTTCCTGAGCAGGCTTTCTCAACCTTGATACTACAGACATCTCTGTCCAGATGACTCTTGGTTACAGGGGACTGTCCTGTGAATTATAGAATGTTCGATAGCATCTCTGGCCTCTACCCACTAGATGCCAGTAGCACTCCCAGTTGTAACAACTAAAAATGTGTCCAAATATTGTCACATGTCCCTGGTGGAGGAAAAGTCATCCCCTGTTGATAAAGATGTTTAGAAACACCAGCTAGTGTGTTCTCTCCCTCTAGAAGGAAAAGATCATGGGCCGCCTTAGTCCACCAAAGGTATTTTAATCTTGGCAACCATGTGATACCAAAACAAAAAAACCACACTGTTTACTCTGGTAAAACTGAAAAACTAAAAGGCAATAAAAAGAAAATTTGGGAAAGCAGAATTAACAGGATTCTGAGGTAACAGCAATAATGAAGGAGAAATCATCATTGTAAGTTCCCGTTTGTGAACGCACACATCTGCCACGGTTTCCCACATGAGTGACTCAAGCACCAAACACAAAGCCATAGCTAATGTCATCATGGCACTGGTTCGGAGGTCAAAGCTCTAAACTCAAGTGTTTCCAGGAAGCATTCCTAAACTCAAGTCCATCTCATTATGTGAAAATACACATACAACCGTACCCTACTGTTCTGTTAAATCACACAGTTTAAAATGCATGCTGTTCTGGTTTTTTTTTTTTTCCTTACCAAGTCCATTTTACTTAAAAAAAAAACAAAAAAAGACCCAAACATACAAAACATTTTTAATATATCTTAGAAAATTAGCAAAAAATTAAGAAAGTTCAGCATATTACATTGTACATTTAGGTAAAGAATATTTAGGTAAGAATGTCTGAGAATTATAAATATTTGTTCCCTCTCAACATAGGACATCATAAAAATACATTCTTAAAACTTTTTTCATGTATAATTCCTGTAAATGATCATATCCATACTAAAGAAAAGGCCTGATCATGAAAAGCTTTCACACACTCCTGAATTTTTCTGTACAGTAACTACAAAAGTAAAAGCAAAGGTTCTGGCAGCACATTGACCCTTAAAACCTTTTTAAACATTAGGAAGAATTCAGTTAGTATCAAATTATCATTCCAAATGGGATTTAATTTACTCAGTTCATCTCTGTGCTGATTCCTTAGCATCTATCTTAGCCAAAGCCTGTTTATAAGGTGTTTGCCTCCTTGAGCTTAGTGCCACCAGAGCCAGAAGTAACTCAGCAGCACTGCATTCAGCAGAAACTTTTGCACAATTGCATCCATGGACTGCACCCTCCTAGCAGAGGCAAGATCCCCAAGTGGCCAGGGACCGCTCTGGTCAAAAGTATCCATGGCAACCCACATGTCATGGCAAGCAGACTGGCGATGCACTCGGAGAGGGAAACATACCCAGAGATCTTGACCCCAAACCCCCACGCCCCTCGGCATCAGCAGCCAATGGCACCCACGGCACAATTTGCATGCTGCCTCGTCCCCACAAGGACCTAAGATTGCTAAAGGGAATTTTCAGAACCTGAAGTTTTCAAAGAAAGAGTAAATAAAAAGCTTCATAGTGTCGACTTTTTTTTTTCCAGGTAAGCCCTTATTTTCAAGAAGATAAATAAGAAGGCTTCCTTAGTATACTGGCCTGAAAGAAGGCACTGAAGGAAGAACGGTTAGAAGCAGCAAAGCCAGTTCCTTTGTCTTTAGCATCAAGCTTTCTAGCTACACCAGGAATCTGCACAACAGATGGGGCTCCTGCCAGCTTTCACTCGGTGTTCTTCTTTTCTTTCCAGTTCTTCTCTCTCTCTTCCAGTTCTGCCTGGGTGAAAGCTGCAGGGCCCCAGTTAGTGATCAGGTGAGGGTTTTTTGAACCTAAGGAACACACACATTAAATATTCTTCAATTAGCATTACCATTTTTCCACACATAAAAGAGTAACTTTCTACTTGATTTCTTCTCTGAGTATCTGCAAATGTCACACCAGCCAGAATGACTAGAAAATGTATGCAAGGGAATTAACTGAGCCTTCTTATCTAGTACAGAGCAAGTTATTCAAGAGAAATGGACCCTAAACAGTGTCGTTTCTGTATATTTGGGCTAAAGATTTTTAGCACAATTTAAACACACAAATAAAATAGAAGAATAAACTGGATAAATATCTGATTACTGCAAAGAGTGCGTTACCTGGCTCTATCAATCGAATTAATCCTTCATGCTGGGCCACTTTGTCCTTCCAGCTCTTGGTCTTACTAGTTGCCATCTCCAGCTTCTTCTTAACTCCCTGCAACGAAAGTAGATGTTGGACTATGCAAACACATAGGCAGTTTAAGACCAAATAAAAATGCTTGGGCACTTTTGTGGATTATCCCATGAAATCCAGCCACTCGAAGAGGCAGGAACTATCAATCACCCCCATTTTACAGATGTGGAAACCAGAATGCAGAGAGCTTGAGTAACCTGCCCAAAGTCACCTAGGGGACCTAATGACACAGCTACACATGAATGTGTCAGATCCTTGTATATGCATTAAGGCTCACCAACCTCAGCCCCAAACCCAGCCTTCCCTGTCCTGCACAGGACACCAGGGTGACTCTCCTCACCAGCTGGCAACGACTGTCAGAAGGGCACTGAGGGTCACCGAAAGAAGGGGCTCTGCTCCCAGGTCTCACTGTGCTCTTCTCAGCAGCTCCTGTGGCATGTGGGGCACCCACAGTGCTCACACCAGTGGCTTTTACTGTCATCGCCTTGTGGGCTGCTTCCCCCAGTGCCCAGAGGACAGCTTCCCAGTCACAGCTTTCCTGCTGTCCATGGGGCCAAGGCCATGCCTTCTCCAAGATCTATATCACAGCCCTGGCAGAAGGGGCGAAAAGCAGATGTGTTCCCTTCCTGGGTACTCTGCCTCAGTCTCAGAGCCAGGGGCTGCTTCCTGTACGTGCTGTTCCTGTACTCTTAGAGCCACCTTTACTGCTTGGTGGGTAATCCCCTGTTACAGTTCATTTGTTTATATTAAACTTGCCCCGTTCAAATTACTGTGTGCCTCTTGACTTCACCTGATAGACCTCACCACCTGTAAAAACTACTACTTACAGCTAAGCAAATACTGTGATTTCTAAATGTTTTTAAGTTTTTATTTTAACTCCAGTTAGTTTACAAGCAGTGTTATGTTAGTTTCAGGTGCTTAAATGTTTGCTTTTTAAATTTTAAATGCACGTTTGCAGGGATCAGGTGGATCACCTCATACTGCTCTAACGCTTGCTTTCGCTCCAGCTCGAGCTGCTCCAGCTGTTCCATGGCTTCCTGAAGGGCCCGTTCTTTCAGGACACGCTGATTCTCCAGCTCCTGCTTCTCCGCCTCAGTTGTCTGAATGGCCTGCTGCTGCTCCAAGTGCCACTTTTCTAGTTCAGCCCTCTTGGAAGACTCTTCCTCCAGCAACCTGCAACGTGGAAAGCTCAAGACCAAACCTGCCCGGGCTCCCGGGCCCGACCCAGCCGACAACAGAGCCACCGAGAGCAGCAGATGAGGCCTGACGTCATCCACTTCCTCATTTTGTAAAGAAGAAACCAGGGGCCACAGAGGCCCATAGTCACAAAGCTGGAAAGTTGCCCCATGTGTCCTGTCCTGCTCCTCTCTGTTTCACCTTTTTTTGAAAAAAATAAAATGACATTTATGAAAGGTTTAATGTGCCACAACTGGGCCAAGAGCCAAGTGTATTTTCCCAGTCAATCCTCACGGTAAACTTAAGTGCTATCAATATTCACATTTCAACAATCAAGAAAGTGAGGCACAAAGGTTAAATGACCTGCACCGGATCATCTGCCTGACAGATGGTAGGGTCAAGTTTTGAAAATTACCTGGTTGCTATAACATTAAAACATTTCTCATCAAGTACAAACATATTACCAAGGGAAAAGCTAACAAACTAATGATGATAAAAGGGAAAAAGGAGGCAACAAAAGGCAGAATAAAACATACCACTTCCTGAACTACTACTCTAACGCTTGCTTTCGCATGTCAGACACTTGACTTCATTATTGTAACCCGCCATCAATTCTGCAGGGTATTATTATCCCTCCAGATGAAGCAATAAAAATTCAGGATGTCACACACAGTGAATTTTAACCAAAGTTTGTGTGACTCTAAAATGTTATCTTTGAGTAACAGGCTACTTATCTAAGAATATCCAGCTACACAGGCATTTAAATAAAACATGCAGTCCAAACCTATACCCAAAGTATAGACAATGTACTTAGGTGCCAGCCCAGAAGAGGACACCTCTCTGGTGGCTTGGTCATCAGTATGCTCTTCTAAAACCAATGACAGAAGACATAAAATATCAGACTAGACAGCCCTTATCCCACCGCCCCCAGCCCCCACCACTGTAAGAATTCCCTCTACAACATCCTGCAACGTGGTTATCCTACTGTGCTCAGATACTCTGTGGGATGGGCCACTCACTGCTTCACAAATCGGGCGAGTTCACAGTGGGTTCACAATGAGTTCACAAACAGGCAACCTCAATCCTTAGAAAGTTCTTCCTCAACTAGGAAGAGCTTTCCCACCCACTATCCCTAGTCCTACACAGGACCATCCACTCCCCCTCAGATGTCTCCTGGAGTGTGATATCTACAACTGAACACAACACTGCAAATGTGGTCTGACCAGTGTTTTTTCACTCACTCAAGTTAGTGTATACTATACACCTTCTGTGTGCTTTTCTGGACACAAGAGTGAACGAGACTGCAAAGGCCGGTTTCTTCATCCTAGGGGTGAGTGTATGAAGTGGGAATGGATGTCTGCAGGTGTTCAAGCTGCCCAGTTGGAATCTCCCACATGTGTCCAAGGATCTGCCACAGTAGGCATCTTGACCGGAAGTAGGGCCCACCTCCCACTACATAAGCCACAGGCCTGACCCCTGCCCTCCTGCCCTTTGGCAGCCAGAGCATAGTGGAAGCCTGAGCTGGGCTTGACTAAGCAGATGCTGTTCCCGAAACTCTCTGAAGCAACTCACGCAAAGCAGAGATAGTGGAGAATTTTATCTTGCTAGTGGCGGCAACATCCAGTGCTGCAAGGCAGCAGGAGCAATGGTGACATCAGTGGCATCCTCAGGGGACTCTTCCCTTGGCCTGGTTTGGGCTGCTCAGCCTCCGTTGGTCCATGCCTGTGTTCAGGCCTGGTCACCTGCCTTTCTTTGGAAATGGTCAACTACTCAAGAACCTTCCAATTAACTCTTTTATTGCTCTAGCAAATTCAAGTTCATTTCTGTGGTTTCCAAAGAAGATGCTGGAACAAAGACTTTAACCACTCTGTGCTTTAGTTTCCTCATTTATTAAAAAAAAAAAAAAAAGTATAGAAATTACATCCACCATCAAAGGTTTATGGATGCATCAATTGTGATAATGCACATAAGGTACCTAGAACAGTGCCGACCACATCTAGGTGCTAGATAAATATCAGCTCATGTTATTACAGCAGGACTGATACCTCATTTGCTCTGAATACTTCACATTCACTAACACTACCTAAGAGTGTTTGAGGTTTCTGGCAATAGTATCACAGGAAAGTAAAACCCTGATTCTTTTCAAATGAATTGTTATTAAGGCAAGTTCTCCCAGATTCAAGTCTCCTGTTGTTACTTTAAAACTATCTCCTGGGGCAACTGGGTGGCTCAGTTGGTTAAGCGTCCAACTTCGGCTCAGGTCATGATCTTGTGGTTCATGAGTTTGAGCCTCATGTCGAGCTCTGTGCTGACAGCTCGGAGCCTAAAACCTGCTTAGAATTCTGTGTCTCCCTCTCTCTCTCTGCACCCCCCCCCCCCACCAAAACACACACTCTGGCACTCTCGCTCACTCTCTCAAAAATAAAATAAACATTAAAAAAGATTTTTTAAACTATCTCCTTAGTCTAAAACCATCAGTCAAGCCTGTCAACTGATCTTTTTGAATGTTTATTCTGACATCCTATACATTATACATCTTCATCTGCAAAAGAGACAAATGAACATAACGAACACACTGATTACCAAATACCAGATATTACACTAAATACTGTGCATGTAGCACCTCCTCTAATCTTCACAACAACCCTCCAAGGTAGGCAAGTATCCATAATTCTATAGATAAGGAAGTGAAGTCTCAAAGTAGTGAGGTGACTTTTCAAAAATTACAGCTAGAAAGTACCAGAGCTAAGAATCAAACTCAGACCTCACTCCACAACTTGGTCCCTAATTGCTTTCAAATACATGAAAAAGTACTATCATATAGAAGAGTCATGACTGTTTCATGTGGCCCCCATTAGTAGAACTTGGATCCATTCAGTCATTCAAAAAATAAGTATTTAAACAACTTACTATAAGAAGTATCTCTGAGGAAACTTCAAACACTGACAGAGAAAGTACTACCTTCTATAAGAACAATGAGAAACTGCTTAAAGAAAGGGCAGGAAAGTTAACTAAAAAGCCCTCTACAAACACCCAACCTAAGATTATGATTCATTTCAGCAGTGCTGGACATAAATGTATTTCACTCGGCTCCATGAAGACTTCCCTTGATTTTCAACCCAGGAAGGCCTACCCAGAGGATTGGGAGCAAGGAGAAAAGCCCCCTCTGACAATCTGACAAAATGTCGCTCTGAATCAGGTCCAGCTTCTGTGACTTTAGGAAAGAGATAAATTCACCTCTCCTAAAAATGACCAAATGTTATTCATCTTAAGTTCCAAAAACTAAGATGAAAAACAAATTCAGAATTCAGTAAAATTCACGAAATGGCCTTTGCACACCAAGTTCTCTAATTTCAACTTACTGGAGCAGAGCTGCATGTATTAGTTCTATTTGTATTCCAAAGTTGAAACGATTTTGCTATTTATTTAAATCAGACTGTACAAAATAATTAGCCCAAGCTTTTTAAATAACAATATTCATGTCTGGCTCCTATCCAAAGATATTTTGATTCAAGAAATCGAAGACACTGATTAAAAACTACTATACTAGCCTCAATGACCCAAAACTGTATCTCATTCAAAACATCATTCATTCTATAAACTCAAAATAATACTTTAATAAGCTTCTAGAACAGGGGTGCCTGGGTGGCTCAGTTGGTTAAGTGTCTGACTCTTGATTTCTGCTCAGGTCGTGATCTCAGTTTGTGGGTTCAAGCCCCGCATCGGACTCTGCACTGACAGTACAGAGCTCGCTCTCTCTCTCTCCATCCCTCCCTCCCTCCCTCCCTCGTTTTCTCTCTCTCTCAAACAAAAAAAGACTTGCGGCGCCTGGGTGGCTCAGTGGGTTAAGCATTCAACTTCAACTCAGGCCATGATTTCACAGTTTGTGGGTTCAAGCCCCACTCAGAATTGAGATAAATTCTCAGACATCATGCTATTGTTGTGGGGGCTGGGGGGAAACCCTCCATCCCCATCACATGAAAATTAGGAACCCAAAGTGACATCCCCTGAAAAGACATCTTAAAGAAAACAAATGATGAAGCAAGTTAGAAACTTGAAGAGGGAAGCTCAAATTTTCCCTTTGGGGTCTTTATTCTACTTTGTCCTCCCTGCTGCCACGAAGACCACAAATTGAGAGTTCTCACCTGAGATCATGGCTATCATAAACAGTAAACCTGACTTTTAAAGCTCTAAGAAAAAGAAGAATCTAGCTTTCTAAAGTTTAGAACTTTCTAAATTTAGAACTTCTAAAACTGAGGTGCCTGGCTGGCTCCGTCAGTAGAGTGTGGGATTCTTGATCTCAGAGGTCATGAGCTCAAGCTCCATAGTGGGCACAGAGCTTACCAAAACAAAAACCTTATAAAACTAAGATTTCAAGCAATAATTATTTAAGGAATGTCACCAATCCTGAATGACCAAATGGAAACTGCTTAATTCCTCATTATCCTTCTAAAGTGCCTATAACTGGCCCGAAACGGGCCGCTGCCTCCACACAGCGTCCCTCTCTGGTCTGGAACACGTTGGGGAAGGTTCTCACCAGAGCTGCTCCTGGGTCCACGGACATTCTAGACATGGACATTCTCACCAACAGATCCACTGGATCACTCTAAAACAGACAGAAGGCCTGTCGATCGTCCCAGAAGCAAGGGCCTTCCAGTGCCATAGACAGAATAAACAACTCGGCCAGCCCAGCCTCGGGGGCCTCTCCAATCTAGCAGAGATACTCCTCTCTTCACCAGAATGTCAGTCATTCCTAGAAATTCCTAGAAAAGTACATAAGGACCCAGTATACAAACTGATCTGGCACCTGGCCTGAAGTTTCCGCACAGTCTCTTCATCTTGCCGGGCCTGTCTCTCATCCTCGAGAGCCTCCTGCAGCTTTAGGTACATGTCTTCCAGCTCCCGCACTCGCTGCAAATACTGTTCCAGTTCAGAGGACTTCTGGGCAACCTGTTCTTCCATCTGCTGTCTGATCTGATGGTATAAAAGGGTCATGTTTAAACTCAGGTTGACTTCACCCTCAGGGAAACTCTCCCACTCCTAGTGCCACAGCCCACCTCGGCAGCTCAGCAGGGTGAGCAGGGCCCTGTCCTTCGCTCCTGGAACTGAAGACAGAGGAAGGAGGTACCACACCCATTACCAACACTAAGGCCATACCCCAAGTCAAGGACACAAAGTACAAGCCAAATGCTGTGCTCCAGCCCTGGCTCAGTTTCTAACCCTTCCACTCTACACTTAAAGATTCACAAGTCAAGAAAAAAATCATGTCCCTGAATAATCTCTCCTTAAATTCCTTTTTATTATAAAGCCACAACCTCTTTATCTATGATTTTCTCTAAAAGGAATGAACCTCTGCCCAGTCAGAAGAGCCCAAGGGTCACAATAAAGGGGAAAGGAAAGATGGACCTGCAGAGAGTCCTCGGTGCTTACCTGGCTGCCTTGAGGCCCCTCCAGTCCTGCCCTAGGGCACCTCCAGTCCTGGGGGGCCTCACGCAGCTACCATTAGTGCCCTAACAACTCAATGGTTCCTCCCTTCTGTATTAAAGTTTTCAATCTTTCCCTTAAAAATGGAAAGACAAGGACATCCAAATGTAATAGCACACACACACTAGTGTATGTGTCTGCGGTTTATAAAATATTCACACTTGCTAACATCATCCTCATAAGAGTCATGAGAGATCACATGACAATGCCTCCAATTTAAAGAAAAGAAAACTAATGCTCAAAAGAAGGAACAGAGAGGAAACAAACCCAGATGTTCTGGCTGTGAGTGCAGCAACTCCTTGATATCACATCTGCCTGCTTGTGTACTTTCTCTCATAAAACAAACGTGTCTGTTTCAACTCTAAGCAACAAAAAGTTACTTTAAAAATGTCATGAAATCTATTCAATGGGCACTGGGCTCAGTACTCTCCCACACATTACAACTCTGTGTAGGAAGACCTGTGTTCTAGTAAACTAGCTAACCACCTAAAGCAAGCTGGCTCTTGGATGTCTTGGGGGATGGGAACCTCTAAGATGAATCAGAGCTGCCAAGAGCAGCAGACCAGAATTCCTATGTTGTCATGATTTCAGAACCCCCCACTTTGCTCATTACAGAAGAGAAAGATCATGGAACCCATGCTTACTTTTTTCCGTAACTATTCATTTTCCAAGCCAGGCCTTTTTGAGAAGGAAAATGGGATGCTGTTAATAATTATATCAAGAAGCCAAGGACTGTCCTAGGCAAACCAAGAGATACAGTCACCCTAACCATGGCAGTTATCACCCTATTCCATGAACTTCTATTCTGGGGTCCTAAAAGCAAGATTTATGTCTTTTACCTTTATATCCTTGGCATGGTACCTAGCACATAGAACATGCTCAATAAAACCATAATGAACAAACACACACACACAGAGCTTCCCCCAGTAGCCCACTATAAGTCTGTAGCATAGCCCAGCTGACACGATGGCCTCAGTCCAGCCTCCCAGGCCTTGGCCCCTCCCCATTCACCCAGACAAGCCACTGTGAGCCAATGCAACAGCGGTCCCAGTTTCCCAGCTGTAGGACTCACAAGCTTCTCTCGCTCCAGCTCTGTGCTGAACCTCGCCTGTAGTTCCACTTGAGTCTGAAGGCGTTTCTTTTCTTCTTCTGCTGCGCGAGATGCTGCTTCTTCCAGTTTCTATCCAATCAAAACCCACCCACAGATAAGTAGTAAATATCAGAATGGAGGTAGATTAGGAAAGAGAAATGGCCACACCTAAGCACTTGGGAAAAGCCAAACATTCTTAATGTTCAATCAAGCTAGAATAAAAACTTTTATTGCATTGGAATTCCACTCCAACAATTTTCCCAGTCAACATACAAAATCAATTAGGTAAATGAGTGACTTGTTAAGTCTGAACATTTTGCAAAGAAAATTTTGTAGAGTCATGGGGCTAAATTCACTTGTAAATGCATCTTGAGCTCCTTCTATACAGTTTTGTCATCTCACATGTTATTCCTTAAAACTTTTACCAGAACTTGACTTCCAGAGGGTGGCAGTGAGGAGCTCCATGGACCCATTCCCCAGGAAAACACTCATAACCGGTGAAAATAATTTCAAAAAACAAACAAAAACAACCATTTAAAGTCCCCAGAAAATAAACCAAAGGCATATAGCAAATGGAGAAGATTTATCAAAAAAAAAAATAAGGCATGCCTAGAAGACCAGAAGCTACCGCCTCCACCTAGTGATGGGCCCAGGAAGCAGGGGTATCACACCCAGAGAAGCAGACCACTAGTTTCTGCCACCAGCTCCAGAGCATTGGCACAGAGATTTGCCCAGGCAGAGAAGCAAGATCTGGAGCACTCCCCAAAAGAAATGACATTATTTACAACAAAGTGTGTGGAAGGTCAAACTTAAAGATGCTCTTGAAAACAATGAGACTTTAAGGAATTAAGAGGAGTCTCAGAGCTCCAGGAGACCAACAAACTACAAACCACACATCAGGGAGAAGTTTAGCAGAGAGAACCAGATATAGACAGTAAAGTGCTCTCATGTAATAGGAACAAGTCTCAAAGACTACATATGGGCTTGAATTTAAATAATATCAGACTGTGGAACAAGTCAGGCCCCAAGAAAACAATAGAGCTCTAACAGCTGGATAGGATACTGACAGAGGCATAAAGGTTAACAGAGAGATTAGAGAAAGAAACACACAAAGAGAACCCTAACATCACGGTCACCCCAGGGTACTTGTACATGCCTAAGGTTGTGCCTCTAAAGAAAAACACAGAGGCTTCAGAGTATAAAGAAACAAACCTCACTGAAACACCCTAGCCAAGTAAGGAGACAAATGAATAAGCAGCAAGCCCTAGGGGGAGAGGAGAAATCCATATCTGGAGTTGCTACAATATATTGTCTAAAATGTCCAGCTTCCCAAATGGAAAGATAGTTCATGCTCGTGGGTTGGAAGAACAAATATTGTTTAAAATGTCCATCCACCGAAAACAATCTACAAATTTAATGTAATCCGTACAAAAATCCCAACAGCATTTTTTACAATACTACAAGCATTATTTATGCTAAAGTTTGTATGGGATCACAAAAGAAGTGGTTTCTTCTCTCAAAAAGAAAACTGGACATATCTGGACTGGACAGAAAACTGGAGGTATCACAATCCCAGATTTCAGGATATACTACACAAAGATGTAGTAATCCAAACAGTATGGTATCGGCATTAGAAACAGACACACAGGGGTTGCCTGGGTGGCTCAGTTGGTAAAGCGTCCGACCTCGGCTCAGGTCATGATCTCACGGTTTGTGGGTTCAAGCCCCACGTTGGACTCTGTGCTGACAGCCAGCTCAGGGCCTGGAGCCTGTTTCAGATTCTGTATCTCCCTCTCTCTCTGACCCTCCCCTGCTCATGCTATCTCTCTCTCAGAAATAAATAAAACATTTAAAAAATTAAAAAAAAAAAAAAAACAGACACACAGATCAACAGAACAGGACAGAAAGCCCAGAAATAAACCCACAATTATATGGTCAATTAATCTACAACAAAGGAGGCAAGAATATGCAAAGGGAAAAAGAAAGTCTCTTCAACAAATGGTGTTCAGAAAACTGGACAGCAACATGCAAAAGAATGAAATTGGACCACTTTCTTATACCATACAATTATAAACACAAAATGGATTAAAGACCTACATGTGAAGATCTGAAACCATAAAAATCCTAGAAGAGGGAACACAGACAGTAATTTCTCGGACATTGGCACACAGCAACATTTTCTAGGTATGTCTCTTGAAGCAAGGGAAACAAAAGCAAAATAAACTATTGATTGGGACTACATCAAAATAGAAAGCTTCTGCACAGCACAGGAAACAATTCACAAAACTAAATGAGAGCCTACTGAATGGGAGAAGATCGTTGCAAATGATGTAACTGAAAAGCAGCTAGTATCCAAAATCTATAAAGAACTGATACAACTCAACACCAAAAACAAAAAACAAAAACAAAGCATTAAAAATGGGCAGAAGACGTGAAGAGACATTTCTCCAATGAAAACATACAGATGGCCAAGAGACACAGGAAAAGATGCTCAACATCACTCATCAGAGAAATGAAATCAATACCAAAGTGAGACATCACCTCACACCCGTCAGAATAGCTAAAAAACACATGAAACGACAAGTACTGGCAAGGATGTGGAGAAAAAGGAACCACTGTACACTGTTGCTGGGAATGCAAACTGGTGCAGCCAGGCTGGAAAAGAGTATGCAGCTTCATCAAAAACCTAAGCACAGAATTACCATGTGATCTAGTAATCACACTACTGGGTATTTACCCAAAGAATATAAAAACACAAAGTCAAAAATATACATGCACCTGTTTATTGCAGCATTATTTACAATAGCAAGATATGGAAACAACCCAAATGTCCATCAATGGATGAATGGATAAAGAAATGGTATGTGTGTATATATGTGTACACACGTACGTACGTACGTACACACACACACACACACACACACACACACAGGAATAGTACTCAACCATGAAAAAGAATGAAATCTTGCCATGTGCAATAATGTGGATAGATCTAGAGGATCTAGTACAATGGTAGGTAAAAAAGAGAAAGACTAATAACATATGATTTCAGTTATATGTGAAGTTTAAGAAAGAAAACAATGAAAATAAGAGGGGGGAAAAAAAGACTCTTAAATACAGAGAACTGATGATTACCAGAGAGGAGGTGTGTGGAGGAATGGGTGAAATAGGTAGAAGGAATTAAGAGTACACTTATTGTGATGAACACTAAACACTTGAAACTAATATGACACTGTATGTTAATTATACTGGAACTTAAAAAATTTTTAAAGTACATATAAAAAATAATGAATGTCCAGTTTTCAAACAAATGAAATGTACAAAGAAAGAAATATGTGACTCACAGGGGAAAAAAGCAGCCAACAGACTACCTCTGAAGGAGTCCTGATGGTGGATTTAGCCAAGATTTCATAGAAGGTATATGTTCAAAGAACTCAAAGAAAGCATGCTTAAGGAAGTACTAGAAGGTATAACTATACCCAATCAAATAGAAATTATCAATAAAAAGATAGAAGTTATAAAAATAACCAAATGGAAATCCTGGGATTGAAAAGCATGATAACTAAAATGAAAACTTCACTAGAAGTTCTCACCTTATATATTTGGGCTGCAAGAAGAATCAAAGATCAATTGATAGAAATGCAATTTGAAGAACAGAGAGAAAAAGGAATGAAGAAAAATGAACAGAGCCTCAGAGAAATGTGGAACCCCACTAAGCATACCAACATTCACATAATGAGAATTTCAGAAGAAGAAATAGAAAAAATGTTCAAAGAAATAATGGCTGAAAACTTTCCCAATTTGATGGAAAACATTAATCGACACATCCAAGAATTTAACAAATTCTAGGATAAACACAAAGAGATATACATCCACACACATCATAATAAAACTGTAGGAAAACAAAGACAAAAAGAAAATCCTGAAAGAAACAGGAAAAAAATGATTCATCACACACAATAAAACATCAATAAAATTGACAGATGACTTCTCGTCAGAAACACGTAACTGATTCTGGGCAAAGTACTGTAAACAGAAGTGACATTTCTGAGCTGGAGTACTTAACTGCCAAACCCTTGAACACTTTTTCCTCTGGTACAGTGATTAGCAAGTTTTGAAATAGTAGCTGTTGCCTCAGCCTGGATTTCATAAGTGTATATACTCTGCTCCAGCAATCCCATTTCTGAGAATTTATTCTACAGGCATACAGTAAAACCTTGGATTGCAAGTAAGTTGTTCTGTGGTGTTGCACAGGACAAGCCAACATTTCCAATAAATTTATTGATAAATGAGCAATATCTTGCAATTCAAGTAGTATGGGATGATGAACATCACACGATCACAAATGAGCCAATGGTTCTTGAAATTTGCTATGATATGCAAGTGCTGTGTATTACAAGCATGTTTCTGGAACAAATTATGCTCATAAACCAAGGTTTTACTGAATTATTAGAACATGTCTAAAATGATACAAATACAAAATAATTCTCTGTAGCATTGTCCATTTAATCAAAAGAGTAAAAACAACCCAAATGTTCATCAACAGGAAACTGGCATTGTTTTCTTAATTTCTCTTTCTGATAGTCCATTATTAGTGTATAGACATAACAAATTTTTGCATATTCGGTTTTTATCCTACAACTTTACTGAACTTGTTTATTAGTTCTAACAGTTTTTTGATGGCGTTGATAATTTTTTCTGTATATAACATCCTGTCATCTGCAAATAGTGACAATTTACTTACTTTCCAATTTGGAGGTCTTTTCTTCTTTTTCTTATCTAATTGCTCTAGCTAGGCCTTCAAATAGTATGCTGAATAAAAGTAATGAGAGTAGGTGTCTTTCTCTTACTCCTGATCTTAGAGGAAAAGCTTATGATGTTAGGTATAGGCTTTGTATGCATTTATTGAGACACACTCTCTCCACACCTGTTTTGTTGAGAGTTTTAATCATAAATCAATGCTGAATTTTGTCAAATGCTTTCCTGCAACTACTGAGATAATCATATGATTTTTATCCTTCATTTTTATAATATGGGGTATCACACTGATTAGCAAACAAGATTAAAAATGTGAAATGGGGGGGGGGTGCCTGGGTGGCTCAGTCAGTTAAGCATATGACCTCAGCTCAGGTCATGATATAGTTCGTGGGCTTGAGCCCCACACTGGGCTCTGTGTGCTGACAGCTCAGAGCCTGGAGCCTGCTTTAGATTCTGTGCCTCCCTCTCTCTCTGCCCCTTCACCACTCATGCTCTGTTTCTGTCTCTGTCTCAAAACTAAGTAGACATTTAAAAAAAATTTTTTTTAAACTCTTTGTGAGTCTACTCAGTGGATGTTAGCACAAAGTGTGGCATTTCCATGGACTGCAAAGGGAGAATCTCACCAGAAATGTGGGAGCTTATACTGTTAGCTTTTCCCATACTCCAGGGCATAGGTGCTACACAGGAGGACACAAAAGGGTCTTTGATCCTTTTGAGCAGGTGCTCACTGATGGAAGGTAGATAGGCTCACCCCAGAAGGGCCCCAAATAAGGACAGTGCCCATACACTGGAGGCCCACTACCACCCCAGAAGCATGATGTAACTGAGCAACAAGATTTTCCGATGAACATCAATTATTCTTGTTTTCTGGTCAAAGAAATGTCTTGCTGACCTGAGACCCTCATACTTTCAAGGCTGGAAAAAACCAGGATATCTCACTCAGCAACCTAGATACACTTCCTAAGAAAACAATTTACACAAAAATATCTCTAAAATTGCATGAACCTGGTCTTGGTAGAACCAAAGCTTCTAAGTAAGGTAGCCGTGGCTCCTGCAGTGAAACGGAGTGCCCTCTCCCAGTCCAGTGTGCATTCCCACCTTCCTCACGGTCTCCAGCTCCTGCTGCTTATTTTCATTGGCAGCCTGGAGCTCTTTCATCTGTCGCTCCAGCTCCTCCTGTTCAGCCAGCAGCTTCTTCCGGAGTTCTTTCCGACGTTGGCGGGCTTCTTTATGTGGCGGGGGGCTGCCCAACTTCAACAGATGGATAGTAGAATGAATGGCTATAAAAGGTGTTAAGATAAAAAAAATGGAATATACCGTTTATTCTTTATAAGCCTAACATGAACACGGCACACTGGGAAGAATACCAGAGAATCAGTGTAGATTCTGATTCTGCCACTGAAAAATGGTGTGACCTTGAGCAAGCCACATAACCTTCTGCAGAATCAGTTTCCTCATCCTAAAATGAAAGAGATGATCTCTAGAGTCCCTTCCAGCTCCAAAATTCCATAACTGTACATCTGTGCTTACATAGATACTTGATTCGGGAATATCACCCCACTTGAAGAACTTAAAACACTTTCAATTCCCTTGTCTATATTTCTCAAAAGGCTAAATAAGAATAAGTCATAGTTACAGTTGAGATTATTAGTTCCTGATATCTGATTTGCTACCTGCTGGGTTTAGTCTGTCCCTTACCTATGCCTTATGAAGCCATCTCCTTATACACTTCCTTCCTGAGATGGTAATTACAGCTATCAGTTACTGAATACTTGCTATAGGTAGAGCCTTTATATGCAATATTTAATTTTTATTTATTTCCGATTGTTTGAATTATTTAAATTTAACTTTTTGAACAGCTAATACTCTCACATTGTTCAAATTCAAAAACATGAAAAGACATACAGGAAAAGTCTCCCTCCTATTCCTATCCCCAAGTACTGGGTTCCCCTCTCCACTACCAACTAATGTTAACAGTTTCTTCTGCATCTTTCCAGAGATATTTTAAGAATATACAAGTAAGGATGTATATTACCTTCCATCTTCTTTTGACATAATACACCCTTCTGAGCCTTGGGTTTTTTTCACTTAATTTTTCTTGGAAAGATTTCCATTATCAGTACATCAAGCATTAAACATAAAGTACCTAACTGCATTGTGTTACTGTACCATAATTTATTCAACCATTTCACAGTTATTGGATATTTAGGCTGTTTGCAATCTATCACAAACATTTCTGCATGATGTGTCTTTTTTTAAATGTGGAAGCATGGGGCACATGGGTGGCTCAGTCAGTTAAGCATCCAACTTCAGCTCAGGTCATAATCTCACAGTTCATGAGTTCGAGCCCTGTGTAGGGCTCTGTGCTGACAGCTCAGAGCATGAGGCTTGCTTCGGATTCTGTGTCTCCCTCTCTCTCTGCCCCTCCTCCATCTGCATTCTCTCTCTCTCTCAAAAATAATATAAAAAAAAATTTTTTTTAATGTACAAGTATATCTTCATTATCAAATTATTAACCCTCACAAAAACCTTGAGAGGTAGGTACTATTATCCCTATTCTACAGAAGAGGAAAAACAACTACAAAATTTATAACTCAAGTGACCCAGGAAAGAGGACTTAAGCTGCAAACTCTTAAGCCACATCAAAATGACCGCAATTTTCAGAATAACAAAATTTTACTTACGTCTAAGAATATCATATTCAGAAAGAATCTCTTTTCATGATTAAAAGAAAAATCTCATTGCGAGGCCTAGGGGGCTCAGTTGGTTAAGCGTCTTGGTTTCAGCTCAGGTTATGATCTCACAGTTTGTGAGTTCGAGCCCCATGTTGGGCTCCATGCTGACAGTGTGGAGCCTGCTTGGGATTCTGTCTCTCTCTGCCCATCTCCCACTTGCACGCTCTCCCTCTCAAAATAAATAAACTTTAAAAAAGTTATTAAGTCAAAAGTTTGTGTTCTTGAGATATTTGAAACTAGTGATTTCTTGTGAAAATAAATCTTGAAAATTACTGGAAATATTCAAAAGCGATTGTATTATTCCTCTGCTTTCTATATGACTAAAAATTCAAGATGGTCACTTTAAAATTCTTCATAGTCCAGGGGCGTCTCGGTGGCTTAGTCAGTTAAGCGTCTGAATTTCACTTCGGTCATGATCTCGTGGTTTGTGGGTTTGAGCCCCGCGTCGGGCTCTGTGCTGACTGCCAGCTCAGAACCTGGAGCCTATTTCAGAGTCTGTATCTCCCTCTCTCTCCGACCCTCCCCTGCTCACGCTCTCTCTCTCTCTCCTAGAAATAAAAATATTTAAAAAATAATAATAAAATTCTTCATAGTCCTTAAAAGGGGAAATTCCATTATCTTAAAAGCAAAAAGAATCTAAAATGTCTAGTTTATAATTTTCCCACAAGTTCATTATACCAATGAAATTAATGAAAAATTTGGGACTTCCTTTCAATTTGTTTTTCTTTCAGTTACTATGCTGCATATAGAAATAACTACAATGAGGAAACAATGCCTCATGAGATTAAAAGGAAATTTAAAAATACAAAGTCAAAGCTCTCAAGTTATATCATGACAAATAATAAAAATTGCCTTACCCTGAATCCACTCCTGTTTTTTCTTCTTATCTGAGGCACTGATTTCAAAGGTTTTATCAAAACATTTTATGAGAAAAAGGCATTTCTTCCCATCTTTGTCAGGCAAGGACTAACAAGGAAAGCAAAATTAGTTATTTTTTATTTTATTTTTAAGCATTTAATTAAGTTCAATCTTAATTATTTACACAAATCTTGCTGAAATTCAGTATCAATAAAAAATGTGTATAAGGGCATATTTCTAATTTACAAAATGCTGTCCTCTAGGCAAAGTTACCTATGGTAACAAATAACCCTGATAAGCATACTTCATCCAGACTGGGAGAACCACCAACACCTGACAGGACACCATGCTTTGGTGTTCCTAAGCACGACTCTTGTACGTGAGCACATCCCTATAGGAACCTTCCTTATAGGAAGGTGTATCCATGTATTGACTCCAATGGGCTATGAGACTTCTAAGCCAGGGAGATTACCACATCTGCCTGATGCAGATCCACTCTCTTTGCACCTGGGATATTACTGCTAACAAGCTGTAGCTCCTCTCCTACATCCTTATAAGTAGACTGGTGTGGCCTCTGATAACCTGGTGAGTATCCACGTTTAGTTTAATCTAAGAAGACTGCTTAGTGGGCAGTGCACACCCGGAGGCATTAATATATCTATACTATTTCATCCATCAAAATACACTGTCATCTCATTATTATGAGATGTTAGGTATTTCAAATACCTGCAACAAATACAGATATGGTGATAGTTCAGATATAAATTAAAAACTCGGGGCGCCTGCGTGGCTTAGTCGGTTAAGCGTCCGACTTTCGCTTAGGTCATGATCTCGCGGTTTGTGGGTTCGAGCCCTGCGTCAGGCTCTGTGCTGACTGCCAGCCCAGAGCCTGGAGCCTGTCCAGTCTGTGACTCCCTCTCTCTCTGACCCTCCCCTGTTCATGCTGTCTCTCTCTCTCTCTCTCTCTCCTAGAAATAAATAAAATATTTAAAAATTAATTAATTAAAAACTCAAAATTTATGTTCTTGAAGACCACTTCTTTGCCGAATTAATAGCTAGGAATAAAGTGTACTGAAAGTCATCTGAAATCCTCAAAGGTAATGCTCCCATTTTTGTTAGTTTTATTTACTATACTCAAAATGGCCCAGATTTCCTGGTTTATTCATGATTTCAAACAAAGTCTTACTGAATAATTTTTTCGCTTTCTTTTTTATGACTCCATTTTATTCAATAAATGATTCCTTAAACGTACAAACAAATCTGATTTAATCCCTATACTTTTTTCATAAGACAGAAAATAAATTCACATTACAAAAAACTTTTGTCAGGTATCTCTGGTTTTTGGTTCAGAAACTAGGGCAACTGTATGCCTATGTTATTTTAAAAATGTAAATTTTAAGATTCTTTTAAGACTAAAGCCTAGTAGGAATATAAAATACTTGGGCAGCAGGGGGCAGCATCAGAAAGAGGTAACAGTAGACTCACCTCCACACAGCAGTTTTCATCCAAGAGAATGTCTCCTTTCTTATCTTTCAGATCCTCACTCACGTAATAAGAAATTATGTTGGGTTTTAGTACAAACCAGCGTTCAGTCCAGTTTTTCCGTCTATGGCCTTTTTTCATCATGTAACCCTATAAAAGATTAAATCTTATATAATCTTATATAAATACCTGTTCTTTTAAGAGCTGATAACTTTCTGAATACATGAATATCAGTGGTCCTTGACCTCTGTGGATCATGAACCCACTGAGGATCTATGAAGGCCAGAGGCACTGTACCCAAATCCTCATGTTAATAGATGCACACAAAAGTTTACACATAATTCTGGACATGCAGAGACAACCCCTCTAACTCCACCCCATGCTACATACAGAGAGTAGCCTTAGAACTCCTGGTACTAAAAACATTGTAATTTTTTAGAATTCCTTATCTTTTTTATGGATACCTATTGAAATATTTATAGATAAAATGAAATGGCTGGGATTTGCCTCAAGATACAGGAAAGGCAACAGTAGGAAGGGTAGTTGGTGGTTACTGGGGCTGGATGAATGGTATGTGGGAGTTCATTATACTATTCTGTCTATTCTGATTAAAACACACACATACCACACACACACACACACACACACACACACACACCCCTAACAGTGATTCTCAGCAAACTAAAATCTCAATGAATGAAAATGTGAAACTTGGCCAAATATATGTTTCAACCAATCACCTTCTGGCACCAACCTACCCTTCATACCTGACCTCTCACTATTCTGGAGGATGAACTCTTCTCCAGATGAGCAGAAAAGGAACTGGACCAGTAGTTAGGACTCACTTAGTATCTACATTCACACTTCTATACTTCCTTCCCACAAATCAGTCACAAAGATGTATAATTCATTTTTGCTTCAGCAAAATTACAATTATAGGCCAAAGCCCTTCAGGGTTGTGTGAGAATAGCTGAATGTTAAATATTAAATGTACAAGTACTGATACCCTATAGTAGACTATACACAATCATTATATAATATTAGCTTGACTTTATCATTTGGTTATTACACCAAGTTCTTTTTTTTTTTTTTTTAATGTTTATTTATTACTGAGAGAGACAGAGACAGAGCATGAGCAGGGGAGGGGCAGAGAGACAGGGAGACAGAATCTGAAGCAGGTTCCAAGCTCATAGCACAGAGCTGGATGTGGTGCTCAACCTCCTAGACATTGAGATCATGACCTGAGCTGAAGTCAGATGCTTAAACTGACTGAGCCACCCAGGTGCCCCTATTATACCAAGTTCTAATCATACTATTTGTTCAGCTTCCTCATCCTAGGACATTTAAGCAAAAGTTATCTCATACTGAAATTCATCTGTAGTCCAATTATCCTGACATACGGTGGGCCTAGAAGTCCTCTTTGGACAAAGACCATGTCTCACATTCTTTGTAGCACCAAAAACCTATACAAATGAAACCTCAATTAATGTTTATTGATGGGCTAAACTAGAGGAAAAGAGCAAAGATAACTTCATCTACTGAGCAAATAAAGGACCAAAGTAAGGAGATCCCAAATTGGAATTATTGTTCAGTATAAAATGTAAAAAACATGAAAGAGCCACTAAATATATATATATATATATATATTCTATTTATTTAACAAGCATTAAGCATCCTATATTGATATCAGATGCTATGTAGGTCATAATCTAACAAGATAAATGCAACATTGCTATATAAAGGTATTTTCTCCAAAAAAATAAGGGTATTTTTCTAATTTTATAAAAATATATAGGGGTGCCTGGGTGGTTCAGTCAATTAAGCATCCGGGTTTGGCTCGGGTCATGATCTCACAGTTTGTGAGTTCGAGCCCTGCATCGGGCTTTCTGCTGTCAGTATAGAGCCCACTTCAGATCTTCTATCTCCCTCTCTCTCTCTCTCTGCCCCTATCCAGCTGGTTCTCTTTCTCTCAAAATGAAAAAAATAAAAAATAAAAATATATAATCACATGCATACAGTCATGTATAGAATCTAGTAGTAAATCCAATTAACAAGAAAGGAATAAAGAAGAAAATAAAATTTACAGGAATCCCACAATCCGGAAGCAATCACTTTTAACATTTTGGGGAGTATGCTTCCAGATAGCCCTACACATATATCACATTACATGAAAGGGATTACAAGATACTTCCGTTCAACAACATGTTTTTTTCTCTGACCTATAATATGCCATGAGGATCTTTCAGATCAACAAGTATATACACGTGACATGAAAGTACTTTACAAATAGTTTGGAAATGTGGTCATTTAAACAATTCTTTCAAAATAGTAACTTCCTAATTCTTAAGTGTACTTCAAAATTATATCAGTAATTTTTTTTTTATTAAAGCCTAATACAAGACTAGGAAAATAAGAAACTATTCTTGTTCTAAATCGGCATAAAAGTATAAATGACTTATACTCGAATGCAAATGTCTTATTTCAAACATGGTCAAATTCTAAAGCTGAGGAGAAACTGTTCCAGGACTCTTACCTGTTTCAACACATCTAATATAAGCTCATTAAAGACTTCATTAACTGCCATGGACACCGTCTGCCGATCCATGCCTTTGCTAAACTGTCCGTTTCCAATAAGCTCAATCAGTTCCCACACAGAAAGGCCATCTTTACTGTCATCAAAGTTGATTTTATAATGTTCAAATTGTTCCTGTTGCCAACCTCCTCCCATGGCTTCTGTCAGTTTTTTAAGCAGGTATTCAATCTATAAAAAGAAAAAATTTTAATTATTAATTCCTAGTTAAAAAAATTACTTTTAAACTTAGGTATGTATCTATGTTATTTACACTGATAAGATCAACTTAGGAAATGTTCCTTTTTAGTTTCAAAATTATATCTTTCAAGAATCATGATATTTTCAAAGGAAAGGTATAGATAAAATTATTATATTATCAGAGGCCACTAGTCCTATATTAACCTTATAAAATAAGGAACCAAAAACTGAGGGGCGCCTGGGTGGCTTAGTTGGTTAAGCATACAACTTTAGCTCAGGTCGTGATTTCACAGTTCATGAGTTTAAGCCCGAAGTAGGGCTCTGTGCTGACAGCTCAGAGCCTGAAGCCTGCTTCAGATTTTGTCTCCCTCTCTTTCTGCCCCTCCCCCACTCATGCTGTGTCTCTTTGGCTCTCTCAAAAATAAACATTTAAAAAACATTTTTTAAAGGAATCAAAAACTGATAACCCTCTAAGAGTATAGTATATTTGAATGCAAAACTAAAGCAAACTGTACACATACACTACCATATACAAACTAATTGATGTGGTTAGATTACTGTTGGATATTTAAATATATCAGAATATTGATCTTATGAATTAATATGTAAGTACTAATCACATAAGCATCTCAAAGTAGTATGTACAACTTAGCCCCCAATTTATAAATTTCCCATGTAAGCCAATTATTTGAAATTTATGATACTTCCTCCAATTATAACATTGACAATGTTGGGAACAATGGTCAAATTCCTAGCCTGGGCTGGAAAAGCTTATTAAATCCTGAAAAACATACCTTTGTGTAGAACAGTAGAAAATATTGCTATTCAAATAACAGCAGGTAAACAAAACAGTGAGGCAATAATACTCACTGAATGAGAAACTGCTATCTTCTGGAAAGCCTCGGTTTCCTACAATGCTCTCAACTTCAACATGTCCAAAAATGAATGAATCACCTCAGCCTTACAAATGGCTTTCCTTTCTATTATTGATTTCAGTTGGAACAACACCATTCACCCATGCTAATCCTTATTTTCCATTCCTTTATACCAAATCAGTGATAAATTCCTATGATTTTCACTTTCTTAGATCAGTGCTTTTCAAAATGTAGGTTAGAAGCCAATATGAAATCAACTTATTAAGTAGTCACCAGCATCATCTTTAATGGAATGGAAATATTTGAGTTTACTTACAATAAAGAAAATGTTTTGAGGTAAGACTGTTGTGGGGGTGCCCTATGTGTGCTGGTCATGAATATCTTCCTATGGGTTACAGTCAAAAGAGAATGAAAAACTTTGTCCCAGACAATTCTCAAACTCACCCCCTCCTACTCCATCTACCTTGTTCAGGCCTCCCAGTTGGTATCCTTGCCTCCAGCATTGCTCCCTTGTGTCTATATTCAGCCAGAGAGATTTTTTCAAAACATAACCTGAGCCTGTCCCCTCCCTCTGGATTTCTTTTAAAGTTGATAAAGGCCAAGCTCTTCCGTGTCCCTTGGTGACCACCATCCCTCCCACCCGCTTACTATCTCTAACATGTGTTCCACTATGCCCACTGCAGATTTTACACACTTCGCTAATACCACTGATCTGGGGTCTCAAGCTTATTCTGTAAAGGGTTAGGTAGTAAATATTTTAGGCTTTGTGCATCTATATTATAAGTTACTCTTTGTTTGGGTTTGTTTTTTACAATGCTTTAAAAATGTAAAAACTCTTCTTAGCACATGGGCTAAACAAAAACAGGCCATGGGCTGCATTCAGCAGGGAGCCATAGTTTGCCAATACCTATCAGAGATTATAAGGAGTTTACCCACTTAACATACTTTTTTATGCTTCTATGCCTTTCCCCACGCTGTCCTGTCTATCTTGAATACCTCTCCTCATTTCTATATCCATCTAAATGGTATTTGTTCAAATTCTGTATCATCTAGGATACTTCTACTCAAAGTGAGGTATGAACAGCAGCAGCAGCAGCACCTAGAAGGCTGTTAGAAATGAAGAATCTTGGACCCCACCAAAGACCCAAAAATCAAAATCTGCATTTTAACAAGAACTCAGGTACTTCTATATGCATATTAAAGTTTTGAGAAAGCACTGCTCTAAGTGAAACTGCTCTGACCAACCCTAATCCAGGTCAAGTGTTCTAGTTTTTTTTATTTTTGTTTGTTTTTCAGAGAGAGAGAGTGGATGCGCACAAGCAGGGGAGGGGAAAAGACAGAGGAAGAGAGAGAGAATCCCAAGCAGGCTCCATGCTTTCAGTGCAAATGCTGATAAGGGGCTCAAACCCACAAACCGTGAAGTCATGACCTGAGCCAAAATCAGGAGTCAGATGCTTAACCGACTGAACCACCCAGGTGCCTGCAGGTCAAGTGTTCTTCTATGTCACTCCACTTAGCATACTGTACTAAATTTATCTCTCAATCATTTGGATCCCCACCATTTCCTGAATTCCTTATAGAAGGGACTATGTCCCACCTATCTTTAAGTATCCAGAACTCAGCAACATACCTAGAATGTGGGAGAGCTCAAATGATGTTTACTAAATGGAAATAAACTAAGCTAAGCTTCAATTTTCTCATCTATGAAATGGGAATAATGGTTATCATATAGAACTACTATGGGGATGAAATGAGACAAATACGGATTATTTTGAACAGCATCTGACATAGTAGGTACTCCATCAATGTTACTTCCTTTTGTACTGAGATTCAAACACTTAAAATTACATTTTATTATTACATTTAAAAACAAGTCTGTTAACATGTAGTATAATAATTTCAGGAATAGAATTCAGTGATTCATCATTTACATATAATACCCAGTACTCTTCAACAAGTGTCCTCCTTAATGCCCCTCACCCATTTAGCCCCTTGCCAACAACCCCCCACCCAACATCAGCTGCCAGCAACCCTCAATTAGTTCTCTGAATTCAAGAGTCTCTTATGGTTTGTCTCCCTCTCTGTTTTTATATTATTTTTGCTTCCTTTCGCTTATGCTCATCTGTTTTGTCTCTTAAATTCCACATATGAATGAAATCATATATTTGTCTTTCTCTGACTGACTTATACACTCCAGTTCCATCCACGTAGTTGCAAATGGCAAGATTTCATTCTTTTTGATCACCAAGTGATAGTCTATTGTATACAGATATATATATATAGATATATAGATACACATATCTTCTTTACCCATTCATCAGTTGATGGACATTTGGGCTCATTCCATAGTTTGGCTATTGTCAACAGTGCTGCTATAAACATTGGGGTGTGTGGGCCCTCTTTGATTCAGCACTCATGTATCATTTGGATAAATACCTAATAGTGCAATTGCTGGGTCTTAGGGTAGTTCTGTTTTTAATTTTTTGAGGAATCTCCATATTGTCTTCCAGAGTGGTTACACCAGTTTGCATTCCCAACAGCAGTACAAAAGGGTTCCTCTTTCTCCATATCCTCAAAAATATCTGTCGCTGCCTAAATTGTTAATTTTAGCCATTCTGACAGGTGTGAGGTGGTATCTCATTGTGGTTTTGATTTGTATTTCCCTGTTGATGAGTGATGTTGAGCGTTTTTTCATGTGTCCGCTAGACATCTGGATGTCTTCTTTGGATAAGTGTCTATTCATGTCTTCCACCTATTTCTTCACTGGATTATTTGTTTTTTGGGTATTGAGTTTGATAAGTTCTTTATAGATTTTGGATACTAACCCTTTACCCAATGTCATTTGCAAATATCTTCTCCCATTCTCTTAGTTGCCTTTTAGTTTTCTGATTGTTTCCTTCACTGTGCAGAAACTTTTTATCTTGATGAGGTCCCAGTAGTTCATTTTTGCTTTTCTTTCCCTTGCCTCCAGAGACATGTCAAGTAAGAAGTTGCTGCAGCCGAGGTCAGAGTTGTTGCCTCTTTTCTCCTCTAAATTTTGGTGGAAAAATTATGTTTGGGTCTTTCATCCATTTTGAATTTATTTTTGTATGTGGTGTAAGAAAGTGGTCCAGGTTCATTCTTCTGCATATCGCTGTTCAGTGTTGCCAGCACGGAGTGGACTTTTTCCCATTGGATATTCTTTTCTGCTTTACCAATGATTAGTTGGCCATATGTTTGTGGGCCCATTTCTGGATTCTCTATTCTATTCCATTGATCTATGTATCTGTTCTTGTGCCAGTACCATACTATTTTGGTGATTACAGCTTTGTAATACTGCTTGAAGTACAGAATTGTGATGCCTCCAACTTTGGTTTTCTTTGTCAGGATTGCTTTGGCTATTCAGGGTCTTTTCTGGTTCCATACAAATTTTAGGATGGTTTGTTCTACCTCTGTGAAGTATGCTGGTGTTATTTTAATAAGGATTGCTAAAATTACATTTTAGAGGGGCACCTGGGTGGCTCCGTCAGTTAAGTGTCCAACTTCCGATCAGGTCATGATCTCACGGTTTGTGAGTTTAAGTCCCACATCAGGCTCTGTGCTAAAAGTTTGGAGCCTGGAGCCTGCTTCAGATTCTGTGTGTGTGTCTCTCTCTCTCTGTCCCTCCCCCATTCACCCTCTGTCTCTCTCAATAAATATTAAAAAAAAAACAATTTTTTTTTAACAAAAAACAAGTAACAAGGATCAGGGTACCTGACTGGCTTGGCTGGTAGAGCATATGACTCCTGATATCAGGATCGTGAATTCAAGCCCCATGCCGTGCATAGAGCTTACATTAAAAAACAAAAAAAATTGGGTGCCTGCATGTCTCTGTTGGTTGAATGTGTCTCAGTTGGTTGAGCGTCAGACTCTTGACTTCAGCTCAGGTCATGATTGCACGGTTTGTGAGATTGAGCCCTGTGTCTGGGTCTTGGGATTCTCTCTCCTCTCTCTCTCTCCCTACCTGTGTGTGTGTGTGTGTGTGTGTGTGTGTGTGTGTGTGTCCCTCCCCTGCTCTTGTGCATGTGCACACACTGCCTCTCTTTCCCTCTCTCTGTCTCTCTCAAATAAACTTTAAAAACAAAAACAAAAGCAATT